ATAAATAAAATAATTCGTTTCTGAAAAAAAAAACGTAAACAAACTGAAATAAGTGTGTTAATTAAATTTGAATTGATTGAAGATAATTACTAATTAGCATAAATTAAGGAAATTCAAACTAATTAAGAATATTTAGTTTCCTTATGTCACTCTAATTTGTTAAAATTAATTAAAAATTCTGATTTCATCCATTTTCTTTCATGTTTCTCTCTCTTCGATTTTTTTCCAGAAATCTTGTCACTCTCATCTAATTCATATTCGTTTTTATTCAATAATCTTTATTTTCTGAACAACTTCTTATTAGTATTAATAAAACATAGTGATAGATGCGATCCTTTAGGTTAGTGTTCTTTGCGATTTTTTATTTGTATTGTAATACAAGTCAAACGTTCAAAAAAATTATGAACAGTGATTCTGGAAAAAAAAATATTCAGATTTTGTTTGTGAATAATAGTTTTAATTATGGCATTTTTGGTATGAATATTCACTTTTGAAATTACATAAAATTTGTTTGAAATTGGTGTAGATTTTTGTTTGAACATTCATTTTTTGTATGTTTCTGGTTAAAAAATTACATAAAATTTATTTGAATTTGGTATATTGGTTATACCATGTTAGTACGATTTTAGAATTATATTTGAATGAATTTCGTATACTATTTGTCTAATAAATGACAATTAATAGGTAAAAGTGGTATTATTTTGGTATTATAGTGGCATGATTCTGCTGTGAAAAAGTGACGACTTATGTAATGAAATAGGTATAATTTTGGCATGAAATAGGTATGAAAAATGTGCATGATAATTATATGAAATTTGTATATTGATTTCAGATTTTTTGTTGTGTATAATAATTTGAATTATGGTGTTTTTTTAAAAATGTATAATGTTATATTTTGGTATGAACATTGAATTTGTTCATTATTTGTCTGAGGCATTTTTTTTTGGTATATTTTTGGTTAAAAAATAGATAATTTTTTCTTTGGAATTTGTATACTTATAATACCAAGCATGTATGACAATCGATAATGTTTTCATACGATTTTTGGTTTGATTGGATTTTTTTGGCATTATATTGTAATGAATTTTGAGAATAATAATGTAATGAATTTGGTATATTGTTTATTAAAGAAATGAAAATTAATATTTCTAAGTTGGAATTATTTTGGTATTCTAGTGGCATGATCCTGATATGAATAATTGATAACTTTTGGCAGGAAATATATAAGAAATGTGTGAATAAGAATTGTATGAAATTTGTATACTGATATAACATATATGTTTTTACTTTTGTATTCTGTAATAACACATGAAATTGTTTTAAAATAACATATGTATTTTATGTTTTGTATGAGTTTTGTAAGCATAAAAATGGTATGAAATTTGTATATTGATATAACATATGTATAAAAGTTCTTTGTACTTTTGTATGATATAATATTGACACAATAATTTATGATAAAACAGAAAAATATGCAATTCAAAAAGTGTCGGAGCATAAATTATTGTCGCATGGTTCAAAAAGAACTATACGGAGATCACAACTTGTAAATGGTTTGCTGATGTAAAATTCAAAAAGTCTAAGATTACGTGTAGTACATGTCGTCGGGAGGAACATAATAGGAAGACATGTTCAAATTACCCTTCTGAAAAAAAGACAATTTATTTTTATTTTTATTTGGTTGTTTTATTGTGGCAAACTCATGTTTTGATTTATTTTGTCTTTTAAGTTAATGAATTATAATTTCAGAATATTTATTATGTGTGCTAGTTAATCATTTGTGTATTCAGTGTTTCTCAAATGTATACTCAAAAAATAGGTAATGTTTGTATGCGATTGATATTGACTGGAAAAATTAAGTCAAATCTTAGTATGAAATTGGTATGCATTTGGTATCCAACTAACGTTCCAGTGGTAAAATTGAAAAAAAAACATGTAATTGAGATTTCAACTGAAATAGGCAACGTAAAACTAGTTAATATTGTATCCAATTTGTATAAATTTAGTATTGAATTGATCTCCCATTGGAAAATTGAAAAATCAACACGTGGTTGAGATTTCAATCAAATTAGACAACCTAAACAAGTTAATGTTGTATTCAATTGGTATCCAACAAATATCCCAATTGAAAATGAAAAAAACAAAATGTAACTGATATTTCAATCAAATTAGACAATCTAAAACAAGTTAATATTTTATCCAATTTATATACACTTGGTATCCAACTTGAAATTTTAGAACAAAGACAAAATATAAAAATGTATAAAATTAGTATCCAACGGGTATAAATTCGGAAAGAATAAATCTGGTTGTAAAACAATGCATATTATATATTGTTGTCAGAAATTGTAGCAAAAGAAATATACATCACCCAAAAATCAAAACACGTAATTAAAAGTCTAAACTGCAATAATTAATACAAGTTCTATATTTTCCTCTCTCTTCAATTCATATTCCGTATTCAAGTGTGATTCTTTTTATCATATTTAAGCTAAAACTTAAGAAATCCTTATTAAAGATTTTATGATCTCATATTATCCATATATATCAACAAATTTTAGAATTAAATATACTTATTTCACCAACAAAACAATATTTTAGATATAGAAAAACACACCAAAAACAAGTTCAAAACTTACGTAAAACGGTTTTTATTTTCTCAAGAAATCAAGTTTTAGATTAATTAAAATAAAAAACGAAATCAAATTTTCAAAATATAGAATTCTTAATTCTAAAAAAATCCGATTAAAAAAAAACAATAAAAAAAACATCAAGAAAAGCAAAAAAAAAAAAAAAAAGATTAAAGAGAGAGAAAATTACATGTTAAAATATACGGATAAATTTATTTTTTTTAAAAAAATTAAAGGCCCCAATAGTCATTAATAAATAAAAGTTATTTGAATAAGTTAAAAAATCCCTTAAAAGGTTAATAGATAATTACAAATTGATTCTCTCTCATTAATATTATTTCTCTCACCTATTAATTATATAAAAGGAACTGCAATCAATATAATTAAATAATTAATAATATAAAAATATAAAAAGATTAATCATTTAATAAAGTAAATTTTAATTGATTTTTAAATAAAGTTAAATTTAATTGATATGTTATAACCCTTGATTAAACTGTTATAAGTAAGAATTTTTTAAGAGTAGGTTTAAAACTCATAATGTTGTCTCTTAAATGTGTATATGGTGTATTTTTCCTTAACGTATCCATGTAATTAGCATAACAGAACATACGCAAGAAAACAATTTCATAATTTGAACCGAAAGTGTCTAGATGCTCAATTAAAACGAGTAAGATTTCAAGTACCTAAATGAAATTTGTTTGGTCAATATAGCCTTCTTAATATCTACTGTATAATTTGGCTTGATCACTCTTGGTTTGATTGTTTCTTTTTGCAACAAAAAATGCATTGATATTTTTCAACAAAGTAACTGAAATACTCTTCTGTAAAAGAAAGATAAATTGTTTCATTCTCAAAAAGAGAAGCCCACTGCATTGTTGTTTATAGGTCTAACCCATCGGTGGCCACCTAAAGTTGGCATCAATTTTCACTTAGACACCTTAACTAGGCTTTGTTCATTTTAGACACCTCATGTCATGCTCAAATGTGTCATTTTGACACATTTTCGACAATCTGCCAAATTTGTAAGGTGTGTGTAACACACTCGCTGATGACATGTAAAAGTGACGAATTAAATAAAGACACGTGACATATATAAAAAAATAAATATTAAATGATGAATCTTGAGTAGGAAAAAAACTACCAATGACTCATTGACATGTGGCATTTCTTTAACTAAATAATTTTTTAAAAAAAAACTTTTTAATAAAAAGAAAATTATACCCACACCACCCCCAAATTGTCTTCTCTACTACCCACCCCCACCTCAAACCCCAACCCCTCTCTCACTCAGATTTTCTTCTCCACCCACCACCACCCCCGACCCTCCCCCACCCAAATGTGTCAAAAGAAAAGCTTTTTTTTTGTTTGTTTTTGTCACTTTGTGAATGTTGTGAGATAAGAACGTCTTTCTTCTAATAGATTGATGTTTGAATGCTTGATTTGATGAATGTGGTAATGCATTTGCTTGACCTTTTTGGGGTTTTTTTTTTTGTTTCTTTTTTGCTGGATTTCTTGGTCAATGCAAGTCAAAATTTGGTTCTTTGGTACATAAATATGGAGTCCTAAATTTTCTATAAAAATTATATAGCTTATCTATTTGATTTGGACTTTTTCTGTGATTATGATGTGAGAAGGCATACAAATGGATTGAAACGCTAAAATTGTTTGTTGTGAATGTAGGATTTGATAATTGAAAATACGATTTCTTGCCATTTCTGAGTGTTTTTTTCTTCTTGAAATTTATGTTGATTTTCTCAAATTATTTTGATGAGGAAGAAGGACAACAAAATAAGTGAAAGTATTTAAGCTTAAAATTTATGGGCGCTAGAATTCACTTTTTGTTTGTGACATCGCCAAATTTACTTCACCATGGAAAGAGTTTAAGCTTGGAAAATGGTAGCCAAAAAATGGGGAAGAAGAAGAAGAAGAAAAAAAATTAAAATTTGGTAAAATGAGGCTCTCACGCGCGTCTAGTGAATGTATCACACTTGCTATACCATCTCAGCAGAAAGTGTCAAATTGACACAGTTGGGCGTGTCTAAAATGAACAAAACCTAATTAAGGTGTCTAAGTGAAAATTGATGCCAACTTTAGGTGGCCACCAATGGATTTGCCTTGTATATACATATACATTATATATTTACTGCCTATAAGAACATGAAAAGTGTCAAACTTCACATCTGCATCAAGAATAACAAACGAATGAGAGTTCATCAGTCATATGTCGGATCTTTCAAAAGTAGTGCATTTTTGAAGGATCCGGGTGCCCGCAACATTTTTTGAGAGTCCAAATTTTGCAGCAAACATCAAAGATCTCTCACTCATTTGCAATTTACATCCAAAAAAAAAAAAAAAAACAGTTTCACCTCATGTGCCTCCTTGTTCTAAATCTACATTAATTCTTGGACTAGAAGGATTAGCCCTCTTATCCCTACTCAAGAGCCTTTTCAAAGTCCTCAATCTTGTGGGCATTGGAGATTTATCTTCTTCCTCTTCTACTACTTCGTTAATCTGCCTTGGAATATCGATTACCAATGAAACACAAGGCCTATCACTCGTAGAATCTAACGAGGATGACGATGATGGTGTTGCTACTGGTGTTGGTGGATGAGGAGAATTAGTACCCTGCAAATCTTCCTCCAAATTATTTGAACCCATTGTGCTCACTTGAGTCTCATTTCCCCAAAACAACACATTAGTTGGAAAATTTATCACCTCAGCTGAATCCTCTTCTTCTACTGGTGTTCTAAGTAAGTTTTCCATTGTTGATTCTTGTAACATGACTGGGTTTCGACAAAGCGGGCATGTAGAATGAGATTGAAACCACATATCAATGCAATCTACATGAAACCCATGATTGCATTTAGGCAAAAGTCTCGCCATTTCACCTTCAGAAACATCGCAAAGACAAACAGCACATTCCAATCCATCTTTGAATTCTTCGTGATTGAATAAAACTACAGGAATTGTTTTAAGAAGAACAGGGTCAAGCCCCCTGTTGAGAACAGATGTAACATTAACTTCATGACCTGGAGAAAAGTCGAAACGACGGCGCCGCCGCCGCTGCCGTGTGGCGGCATTGCGGTGGTTGTCCGCTTGCCGGCGTTGGTTCCAGAACCATTTTGAGTAAAGATGGAGAAAGAAGACCAACATCACTACAAGAAAGAGAACTATGACAGCTACCACTAGGATTTTCCCAGTCAGCTCAATCATACTTGGATTATCCAGTTTACCATTGGTTTGCAAAACATCTGCCATTTTTAGAAAACTATTTTTTTTGAGCTAATCCAGAAAGTTGAATGCAATTCTGGATTTACCAAATACTCAGAATCCTCCACACTCTAACAACTAAGCTATTAATATTCTTCTTCGTGTAATTGGATCTGCACACTCTGAAAATCGATCAGAACACCCAACTGTAAGAGTTTTAGGATTCAGAACAAACCCAGAAATTAAAAAAAAAAAAAAGTAGAAAGAGAAAAGATGAAGATGGAAATATGCTAGATAGTGGTATATATGTATAGAGTTGAGGTTTGAAGAAGACAAAAAAAAGGTCTAATTAGGAAAGGGAGAAAAAGTGTAGAAGAAGAAGAAGAAGAAGAAGAAGAAGAAAAGAGTAGAAGGAAATGACTTTTTTTTTGTTTTAATGACTAATTTAGATTTATTATTTTGATGATCAAATTTATTTAAGTTTCGCTAATATTCTTGTAAAATTTATTATAGATGACCCAATTTTTTTCTTCAAATACAAAAAATAAATTACAATATATCCGAAAAAATAGTTTTAAATTTTTTTCTTTACACTAAGGAATGAAAGAAAAAAATAAAATAAGAATAAGAAACTCAAATAATGATAATCAAGCAGTTAAAAAATAATTTATGTCCGAAAAAAATATAACATACCTTGAAATTTGCTAGAAAAATCATATATACCCTTAAATGATTTAAAAATCAAAAATCAAAAATATAAATTTGAAACTAATTTTTTCACTTCGTTAAATGAAGGGTATATGTGAGCTCATTTTGTAACGGTAGGGGTATATGTGAGCCGTTTGTATAACGGTAAGGATATATATGAGTCACTTTCATAACGAGAGACATATCAACTCCAAATGACAAAGTTGAGGGGTATATCAGACTCTTTTCCCTTAAAAAAATTAAAATACATACCAATTACATAATATGGAATCGCGGTATCAAAAAGTTCGATTATGATAATTCAACATGTACTGTATCATGTCCATTCCTAACTTTGACCATAGTTTTGAACCTTTTTATTTTGATTTTCTTGCTCCTGTATTTATTTTGAAATTTGGACTAAATTGAGGAAAAAGTGATCGCTAACCCAAAAAATAAATCAATACTATTTGATTTGAGACTTTTAATTAAAAATCGAGGAATTCTATTTATCTTTCACTATAACAGTCGTAGTTAGGTTTGAATGTTTGACGACTTTCAACAACCATCAACAAAATGAGAAATTGTGACGAGATTCCCTTTCCACTTCTGTTTTCAAATGAAATTTGGGAGCCATAAGGGGTCGTTTGGTTGCTGGATCATGAAAATAATTTTCCTATAAAATATGATATTAAATTATTTCTTGAGGAATTGATTTTGTATGACCATTCATAAATTGAATAAGAGAAAATATTAATTTATGTGTAAAAATAAAGATATTTTATGTGACAATTTACCTGAGATACTTTCAAACTGATTCATAGTATGTCAGGTAAGACGCATATATCTATTTTGTTTAACTTTATATAAATATAAGTGTCTATTTATATACATTTAAAGTTGGAAGAAATAAATATCAACTGAAATCAAATTAAAGAGCACGGTTATACTTTAAATTTTTAGAAGTCAAATACTCCATTCTTTTTCATCAAATAATTCTTTTATCTGAAAAATGTTAGTTAATGTGTACTTATATTTCAAGTAGAAATATTGACAAATGACTTTTTTTGTAGAAAAGAAATTCTAGTTACATGAATCTCATAAATTCCTTGTTCAAAAATGTCAGAATTCAGTTTTAACATGTTTGTTGACCAAAGAGTGAAGCAAATGTACTATTTTATCCTACTTCAAAAATTAATTTACAAATTATTGTCACCTCTTTTAATGAACTCTTATTTTGACTTGACTCACAACATAGTACATTTCTGTTAAAAGAACCATTGCCCCATACCAAAGCTTTTGCAAAGAGTGAGGAGCCATTCTTGTGCTACATGAGACAATTGACATTTCTTTGCTTGGAAAATTTGACCATATAAATAGATAATTTCTGGTATACATTTAACTTAGTGTAATTCGTGGCGAAATTAGAATTTTTTTAAAAAAATATTCAAAATCTTCACATATATCTCTAAAAAATTGTCTCTTTTTTCGCAAACCACAGAGAAGATATAAACTGCACTAGACAAGCCTCATGCGACGAGTTCATGGCCGAATAGGCAGGATTCGGTCCCAGGTCTCCAATATGGAAAACTCACCTCCCAACCACTCAATCATGCCCTTGCGGCTGTAAAAAAAGATATTATGAACCTATATGCATAAATTTTTCAACGAAGGGTGTTTTAGTGATCATTCTTGGATCAATGTAGCTATGCCACTGCTTATTTTGAATTCTCCTTGTGTATTTATATTTTTATATTTTAAACTAGTCCTCTTAGTAAAAACTAAAAATTCCGATTCCGCTAATATATACTTACAAATTTGCGCCGAACTAACGACCAATATTATGTGTTATGTGTGGCATGATGTTTGGAGGAAGAGAAAGTCAAAGAGAAATCCTTGTCCATCCCTATATTTATGCTTTTTAATATGATTTGTTTTCCACCAAATATATAGTAATGGACAACATGATGATGTTTACTTAGTACTATAATAATTTTTCCCTCCTAACACCGAACCCACTCATTTCCCTTTTAGCCTCCTCCTATTTCTATGTTAGGCTTAATTCCTCATGTAGTATATGGACTTTTACCTTTTCTTCAATAAATCAAGGAAAAGACTCCCACCATATGTATGAATTAGAGACATTAAGTTTGATGCATTCTTTCATGGGAAAGAGTGGAGGTGGAGCTAGTATATTATTAATTATGTTTAGAAAAGATAGATTATTGGGTTGTGGGTAAATTGTTTAGATATATCATATGGTTTTTTTTAAGTATTAATATAAGATTTAGGCAAAAAATATTGAATTTTGTATGTGTCGAACTCATGTGTGCTTATTAATTCGAAACAAATCTAGGAATTAGAACTTAAAGATTAGTTATTTGAAGTTACTATACGATATTCACTAAAATGAATGTTTATAAAATATTTAACATTTTTTTGATATATGTGTGTATATATTTAAGGTACGTGTATATAGTATTACGTTTATACAAATTCATAAGAAAATCAACAATTTATTTCTTATCCTTCTACTTTTAGGGCTTGTTTGGTGTGAGGGATAAGCACAAATAAACGTATTTTTGCTACTGAGAAAGTGAACGGTCAATACACAGATTCAAGACTTAGTAGGCGTTTGGCCATGCGATACCATATCACGATATGGTGTCGTGAGATGGAATCAGCGTTTGGACATGCGATTTTACGCTGATTCCATCTCATGAGATGTTATACCATATTCTCCAAAAACCATGTGATTCCATATCATGATTTGAGATATTTTAATACAATAATTGATCCATGAGTTTATATTTTGTTAAAACAACCCACATTTATATCTACTAACCATTTGTTTCATATGTAAATAAAATTTATAATCACATCATTACTTTTTAAAATTTATTATTCTCATCAATATAAAATTTATTATCACTTTAAATTTGGTGAATATAAATGATAAAGTAGAAATTCATTTGGTGAATATAAATGAGAACGAAGGGAGTAATACTTTTTTGGTTTTTCATAATAAAAAAAAACGTCTTAATCTTATGACTAAGCATAATATTGATAAAAGACAATTTTCATTGGCGGTGCCGCACTTTCTTAATCTTAGTATTTGCAAGATGTTCATTCACATGACTGAAGGATATCAAGTCCAATTGATTGAGGACTTGGGAAAATTTGATCAATTAGTTATTAATATTTAGTCAAGTGGACTAGTTATAATTTTTTTGATTAAATTTTATTAGAAGTGCTTTTGACTCAAACTTGTGGTAACTTTTTAAAATTTCGTTATTCAATAATATTTAACTATTGATTTTTCTTGTAAATAGTTAGAAGTTAGTGATGTTTGTTAATTTTTATCTTAGTGCATTTAACTTCTAAGTTAATATTTACTCACTAATATGCTTTTTTTCTACTTTATAGGTTATTTGTAAGAGTAGTTGAGAGATATGAGCATATCAAGTACAATTTATGTTCAATTTTTTTTAATTAAATTAAAGTTAGATGAAACAATTATTTAACTGAAGAACAAATAACTTTGTAATAATTTATTATGCGATTTTATAATTTTTGTTTATTTGATAAGATTGAATAAACAATTGGGGTTATTTTAATAGTTTTACAACTTGTGGGATTTTTATGTTTATGAGAAAATATACAACACAAAAATTCCATATCGCATGTCCAAACAAACCTTCAATTTCATCTCATGATACCATATCATGATTCCATATCATGATACCATATCGCATGGCCAAACGGGCCCTTAGTCAAGCATGAGTAAAGTTAGATTTTCAATTATGAAAAAAAAAAATAGTCAAGAAAACTACAAAATACCCTTGAACACAAAATACCAAAAAAAAAAAAAAAAAGGACCATGAAATAGACAAGTGTTGCTTCTTACTCCATTGTCCCTAATTACTTGGACACATTTCCTTTTTGAATTGTTCCTAATTACTTGTCCATTTTGACAAATCAAAAAAGAACATTTTTTTTTACCTATTATACCCTCAATTAATTACTTTGAAAAAGGTAAAACTTTTTGAACATCTCAAATTTGTAGTTCATCCACTTCATAATTAATAGGAATAAAATGGTAAATTCACTATGTCAATTAGTATTTTCTTAATAACTGTGTCGATTAAAAAATTGTCAAGTAATTAAGGAGAAAGAGAGTAGAGAAGAAATATATAATGGTTTGTCCTTGGTGCAAATTAAAGGAAGTAAATGCACATGTAATAGTAGATCCAATATATGTGACCATTGGATACAAAATTCTTGGCGGCCCAACATAATTAGGCACAAAATTCAGTAGACATTCGGTTTGCGATGTAGACAATAATCTATGCACAAAACAA